CCTCATACTTGCATGCGTATGTTGATCACCCCTAAAGTGCAAAGCGAATTCCCAACCAAGCTCATTTGCATTTAGTGACACCCACAAAACTCCATAAAAGTTCAAGTGCACAGATAGCTGAGAAGAGTGTGAAGTCTGAAAGACAGAAGTGGAAATTATTTTAACTCACTTCTATTCCAATAAAAATAGTTAATAATATGGTTATTATATTATATATTAATAATAATATTAATAACAATAAGAGAGCGTTAAATCTTCAGTCAGCTGGGGCATTTGTTTATGGCTATGCACAGACAGTGTCATGTGTATGAGCTATGAGCTCTTTGACCTCATGGACGGCGGCATCTTTTCAACTGCTGTTCATGCTGCATCACAGGGCAGCTTAACAAACTCGGAGGAAAGCACTATCCACCCCCTTCCGCTCACAGATGTCCATGATTGGCTAGTGTTTCTGTGATTGATGGGGAGGGAGAATATTCCCCCTCGCCCTGAGAGCATGGCCAATTTCACTTTCTTGTCCATCTGTGTACTTTTAATGGGTGCCTCTTCCAAAAATGTTCAAATTTTAATCTTAAGAAATGTAAAAATATAAATGTTATAAAAACCAAAAGTACAAAATACATATCACACCTCTTTTGACCAAGTGCTACAAAATGCAGTGTCAATAGAGTCTATACGTTAAGTGGTTTTGACACTCTGTCAAAGTGCAGGCCTGCACACCTGCCCCTGTATGAGATTGGCCCATTGTGACCTCACTTAACTCTTACCTGACAAACAGTCCGTCTATGTACTTTTAATGGGTGTCTATTACAAAGTTAAAATATTAAACGTAAATAATTTAAAAACTAGAAATGTTATCAAAACCTGAAAATATATCTCAAGCACACTTGTCATGACCAAGAGCTTCGAAATGCAGTTTGAATGTAGTCTGCATGTTAAGTGGTTTGGGCTGTGATAATCACAGAAATGTATTGAAGAATAAGCAGAGGAAATATTTGGAATAACAATACTTTTGCTTTTACAAAACTACTTTTACAAGTGCTTTTCAAGCACTGTAAATATATCAATTTACAATTTTAAAAGTCTAAATAAATAAATATCAGTCAATACTATATATTATAATTCATAAGTGTGATATTTTTAAAAATGTTTTTATTTAAAAAAAAAACATGATCAACTTATCCTTTTTCTATTCAATAGAATATTTTATGATTATACTGTAGATGTTGTTGAAATGATACAATAATAAATACACAGAGCAGGAATTTTCAAATAGGGACTGGGGTTGTCCCTTATATTTCCACAGGGTTGCAAGGTGGCAACCCTTGCTGTAACCTATTTCATGGCTAGAGATAAGATGCCACTAAGTACAGTTGAGAAATAAGGCATCTTCCTGTAGATTTAAATATTATTTTGTATACACCTGTGTATTATATTATGTTCTGATAATGAAGTACTTTAAATGGTAATGAACATTTGGTTTATTAAATCTGAATTTTATATGTGTGTATATATATATATATACACACATATAAAATTCAGATTTAATAATCCAAATGTTCATTACCATTTAAAGTACTTCATTATCAGATATATATATATATATATATATATATATATATATATATATATATATATATATATATATATATATAAA